GCTTCGAACTCAATTTGATTCCAAGGATTGGTGACAAAACCAGATCCTTAATCCTGTATTGATGCGCATTATCTACGACATGTTTGTCGCTGGGCATATTCTGGAATAAAACTGGTTTTAGAATATTTCTTTAAGTATTTAGAATAAAATAAAAATTTTTGCTAAAGTGGATAAGAGGACACTTTATTGTATTATAACGGACTAGATCTTTATAATTCCGCTATGAAAAGCTTTACGATATTTTGTTACATATGTTGGACAATTTCATAAATACTTTCAACTTTTATTTTTAATAAAATATATCAAGATATATTAATATGTATATCAACAATTTACAGATTTATTCAATTGAGCTAAATTTAAATAATTTTAGTTAGAACTCGTAGGATACATTTTAATACAATTGATTTTATTTATACTGTTAATCCGTGTTATACGGTGATTGTATCAACTTAGTGAGATACAAATTATCTATTACAAGATGCTGACTGAGATGTTCACATATTTTGCAAAATTATTTATCGACGTTTGATACCGGAAGATTAGCGTCACACGCCGTGCGAAACTTATTTACGATGCTCCGACCATTATTAATAAGAGTCATGGCACCGTTACTCAGCTCGATTTCGCTCGATCGACTTTATGTAATTGTTCTCTCTCTTTCTCAACATACATACACACAGAGAGAGAGGGGGGGGGGGAGAGAGAGAAAGAGAGAGAGAGAGAGAGAGATCAAAAGAAGACACAGATCGTTTCAACTGTCAATTTCTCGGTAGAACGATAATGATCGGTTTTGCACTGTTGTTTATTAGTTTGTCGCGGTCATTGTCCGTTATTGGGCATTGCGATCTCTCGCTATGAATCTTCGCCGTCGTGGGAGAGTCGTTCGATCTGAATCACCACGAAAGGGATCGCCGCGGGTAAGAGAATCGCGCTTCGCAGCATTTGCCATCGTCAACCTGGTGGATGAGCATGCTGTGTCACGGTCACTTGACCAGGAAAGCGTTTAACGCTCGGCGAAATCAATGAAAACATCCTTGGTAATACTTTGAAGTGATTGAGACATTCTAATAGATCGTTCAGCTTGATTAAAGAGAGAGACGTGGTGAGAGTCCATAAAGTCACCGCTTTAAACTTCGCTATTCTGTATTTACGGATAATGGCAATAGTTGCTCGGACTAACTTGTCAAATTCTCGTTAAACTTGGTGGGAAAGTTTTGTTTAAAAAATTCCACCGCAAGAAAGTTTGAAATATATGATGTGGAGTCTCACGCTTACGTTTCGCAATTGCATAAAACTGAACGTGCGCTAGGCAAGCGCTACATATGTAATACGATTATGATGTGATGCCCGGCATCGCGTAATAATTCATGCGTTGTGCGGCGATGTTGAAGTGACGTCGAAATAGCTTAGAAAAGAACGGCAATGCCCAGTACTGCTCATTGAATCTCGCATATATCACAGACCGCTCGACTCGCTTCCGCCTGAAACGAAAGTAGGATGATGGCGGTCTATTATTTATACATAAATGGAAGCCCGCCCGCGCTCTCTTCGCGTCCGCGCTATTTTCACTTCGTTACGGGAGTGAAATTCTTTTTGCACGACGCGTGCGGAATCGGTAAAGAAATCACGATGCAGACTCGATAAATTCTGCGCGTATTTATAAATGCGAATGTATAAATGCATGCGTTGACCGAACATAATTTTACATAGAAACTCATAGATCTTTTTAATAAGTGCACGAAAGCATATGCGATTTAAAAATGAGTTTGCGTATTTTTCGACATCATAATGGCATTCGTGAATAAATTTCGGCATGGTAGTTCGTCGAAAATTGCTTCTGAAGAATTATAAAAATATATTATACTAATTAAAAAAAAATTCTTTTTTAAAATTATTTTGAAGTAAACAAGGTATATCTTATAGATTTTTAGATGCTGAAAACACAATGTCGCAAGTAAGTTAAATTTTTAGATTTTTGAAATAATTGAAGTTTAAAAAAATGGTTTTTTGCAATATTTGATATTTTTTTCATAAAAGGATATTATCTTGAAATTATGATCAGAAGTCATGAATGTATTATCTATCCTGTATATAATGCGTTTTCTTTATTTCAATGTCTTACTATTTAGCCGTTTATAAAAAAAATTTAAATAGAAACATAGCAAATTTTTCGCCTGGCTAAAAAGTAAGATATTAAAATAAAAAAAAAATACATTTATATAATATATTCGTGACTTCTAAATTCGAAATTTCAAGATAACATTAACTTTTTTTTTACAAAATATCCTATCCATTTTTTTTTACAATAAACTTTAGTTATCTTGGAAATATGACGTGCTGCAGTTTCTCATTTACGACATCACGTACCTTTAACATACAAAAATAAGAAACATCTAGTCCAGTTCAAAATAATTTTTTGTAAATTATAATATTATTTTCAAGTAGATTTGATATTATTCGCGTTTTATTAATATATAATTTTATCTGAAAAATAGATTTATTTACACATATACATATACAAAATACTGTGAGGATTATTTACGTTTGTTATTATACTGTAAATATTGTCAAGGTATATTTTATCAAAGTGACAACCAGTTAATTTAGTTCCATCCTAAATTAATTACTATTCTAGGATATTACATCGAGATATTGCAATGTAGCGATCTGGAGAAGCATTATGCAAATTTGGCTTTCTCAAATCGCGACGGAATATTCCTTGTGACAACAACATTATTACATGAATTATCTTGTTGCCTGTAGAATCGATATTTTAAAGGCGATATGAAAATTTCCTGAAAATTCGTGTTCTGCTATCTGCTATCATATGTTATATGATATACATTGATCCCCATCTAATCACTTGCATCGTTCATAACCGACTAACGGCAATCTGCCGATCATTGATTGTATAATACACACCTGTCGCGTGTAAACGATGATCGATGAATCAAATTCCTAGCTTCGGTCACATTGCATGTCATCTCGTTTGCTCCAAATTTACATATCTTTTTATCATGTATTTTATGGAGGATCGAATAACTGTTATCTATTCGATCCGCTAGTCTTATCACTTTGATTGCAGCGAACAAATCACTTGAAAGCAGGATTTTAATGTTTCCTACCTGTTTACATTATCGTCCCTATTATGTCATAAACTCGATGTGATTATAAAACGTGATGAGATTATAAAACGTGACATTTAACTAATTGAAGGGTTTCTTATTAGTTTTTATTATAGTTTTGATTTTAACGTTACGTGCTTTTTCTCCGCGATATGAAAGTAATACGAGTATACTTCTCTCTTCTTTTAATACATTTTGAATATATTCTTTTTATTCAATCTCGAATCTACTCCTTCGACAATTACATGTCGTCCACCTCCATCTCTTCATCATGATAGACAAGCTAGGTGGGGATAAAAGGAATGGTCGCCTTTCGGGCAGGGCCTCCGCTTGTAGTGTTTAAGAACTGAATGAGGGCGGGCTACCGACGAGGACCTCTTCAAAAGAAGGGCAGGGGAATATAAAAGGACAAAACGGAAACAAGGATGGGACATGTCGAACGACGAAGGACTGCTAAATGAGACTTAGAGGATGGAGAGGGAAGAGAACCGGCGTACCGGGAGCTAAACAATGACGAACGCATCATGTCGTAGCAGGAACGATATACAATTGGGAGGAACGACATGGAAAGAGACAGAAGACTTGACGAGAGAGTGCCGAGAGAGGTCCGGAGGTGAGCTGAAACGAAAGAGAAGCCGGTACGTTTCCTCGGCAGGGAGCCCGGCCAATCGGAGCACGGTGGGCGCCGCGGGTAGGAGGAGACAGTTCCGCGCCGACAGGCGATGTAATCACCCGCGGCCGTGTCCGCTGCTGCTCTCTGGCCCCTCCGGGGGCCTCTTCTCTCTCCCTCCGTACTGTACCGCGCTGCGGCGAAGCCGCTCCTCGCCTCTTTCTCCGCGCCCATCGACATAACCGTCGGGCCCACTCTACTTCTGCTGCCGGCGGCAACGGGCAAAGAGTCCTGGCGGTCGGTCACCGGCCGGATCCGTCGGGTCGCGAACTCCATGACCGAGAGAATGCTTATTGGATGCGTTCGGTCGCATTCGGACCATTCGTCAGCACGTGACAAACAAACTTGTTGCGGCTGCTTCAGCTTCTATTTCTACGTTCATCGCGCCTCCGCCGGGTTGCTTTGCTCCTTTGACGCGTGTCTCCAAGATCTATAAAGTAAGGGCGGGAACAGAATCTTGCATAATACATAAGACACGCATAATGCATAAGACACTGAACTAATCAAAGTTCTTCATTTCTTTCCTTTTCATGAAATAAGAGACTTTGATTGGTTGATTATTTTATGCTTTTTGCGTTATGCAAAGCTGTCTTAACAACCTGTTCCCATAACGATAGAACATTTGCACTGTTTGTAGTCTGTCCGATTTCTTTGAGAATTAAAGATTTTATTCATATATTTCAATTGATTATAGAGATGACAGTGTTTATACAATCTCCTTGCAATCTAATCTCAGCGATATTATTGAAAATGTAAAAAATTATCAATGATAGCTTAAATAAATTTATCCAGAGATACGATCATGCAGATATTTTAAATTCATGAACGTGGTGGATAATACATATCTCAATATAAAATCACATCTAAGTTGATACCAGTAAAATAGTCGAGGATACGCACGTTTGGCAAGGAAGTGAACTGCAGACAATCTCTGACAACGATACGCCATGCTATTCATGTAAAAAAGCGAATATATCGCTTGAAGGTGATTTCATGAAAACGTAAGATGTGCGTTTTATGTCGCATCGTACGCCGTTCCTAGCACTCGCTGGAGTCCACTATAAATGCAGCCCCAGGCAATATGGTCTCTTTCTTGAATGTTTGGGTGAAGCATTAAATTGAGAGACCGGTTGAGTATCCACTAAGAGCTTAACAACATCTTTATCCAACGATATTTTATGCAAGTTGGTAGCCCATACTACTCACGATGATGCTTGAGAGGATGCGTTGATAAATATTGTGACGGTGGAGTAAAGTATCGTAAAGTTATGAATACCGTTTAGTTCCTTCGTTTCTCCTGAACATCATGAAAGTGGAGTTAGAAACTTTATCTTTTTAACGCTTGACTTGATATTTACGTGCCATAATTATTAATATTATTAGAAAATAATTAAATAAAAAGTTACACATATATGTATATTGGAAGATAATAAAATAAAAAATTATTTGTACACAATATGTGAGGTTTTTGCTTTATTATTTTCTAAGGTATTATCCAACACCAATATATTATTCAGATAGATAATGTGAGGATTTAAAATACTTTACGTGGGTGACTTCAGCTTCATTGATCTCCTACCAGGCGTTTCAAATTGGAAATCGAATAAGGTGCCAGCGAAGCCGATGATCAATATATAATACACGCTTGGACATGGTGTGTAATTTTATGTTATTTTCTCATTACATTCAGCGGCAGCATAAAAATAAGCTGATGACTGCGTAATCCGCTGCTGAATTGCCGGGTTGATTAAAGTATTTTGAGACGATAAATTCTGACGGTCGTCGATAGAAATTCGTGAAAATTAATAATATTATACGATACTGTTATGTTAGCCAGTTCATTCAAAACCATATCACAGCATAAATAAGAACAGTAAGCTCACTCTATGTCGGCACTTTTGATCTGAATGCTGAATGATCATCATGCAAAGTTAACTAAGTTTGCTTCGCTCTTATTGATTAATTTTATAACTCCAATCACAATCCTTTATTTCAATAGAAAATTGATGGTGAACATTATAATCGTCATGTTGTTGATTGTGTAATTCGATGTGCGAGAAGTAATTATTATTAGTACGATTTTTGGCAAAATGAGTCTACTGTTACTTATACTGTGCTCCTGTGAACGAACTTAATTTAAAACATCACTTTTTAGGTTCTATAATACTCTCTCGTAATGAATAAAATTCTTGCTATTCACGTCGCAACATCACGTGTGCATAACATATTGGGACTCAACATACCAATAATAATGTCTTTCGTGGTGTATTCGCGCATGGTGTATAATAAATTTCTCGTTGAAGCAAGCGTGACGAATAAAAATAAAAAAATTACTCGTGGGGCAATAGGAAGCGGAACAGACAGAAAAGACATTACCTACCCTTACGTCCGGCAGTCGGAAGAAAGTTGCACCTGCTGTTGGCTGGTGAATTTGCCGACCTACGATTGCATCGCCGTTCGCTCAACCGTCCAGGAATTGTTTTTCCAAGCGATATGAATCTACGCGTATATATGCTTGATCGATGAGAATCCATTTTCGAAACACCTTTGACGGGCGAAAGTGGCACATCGTTATCGGCCATCACGCCACGCTATCATTCTATCATCCGACAGCTCCTCCTGCGTTTCTAATGTCTGGAGAAGTATCTCGATGTTATTTACACTCAACGTCCCGCGTAATAATAAGATAACACGTAATGTTTAAATGAAAATAAACCCTTTCATCTTTCGTTGTATATTTCCATAGGAGATGTAACTTATATGGAAAGAATAATTTTTATAGATACAAGAAGTATCTATAAAAAAATTTAGCTAGATACAGAGTTGCAAATAATTTAGTTGGCTCATCAAAAATAATTATGATGGAAACTCAAGTATGGAAAGCAATGCTGGAAAAAGTTTTGACATTCAAGTAACCAGCTTGTAACATCCTACATAATTATTTTGGTAGTCCAATAAAATTATTTTTAGATCAGTACGTAGCTAAATTTTTAGACATTTCAATAAAATCATTATTTTCGTATACATGAACAAAAAGCGTAATGTTCTTTGCCTTTTCTCACTAAACTTATTGAACAGCGATATTGTTTATTTATTCACCTGCGCCACTATAGCCTGTGGCGAACAAAAGAGTTAGCTTTCACTCCCGCCGTCGCGTAGAACATCAGCTTCTCTATTTTCTATTTCTCGAGCCGTGCTTCGCGCATCTCTTGTGCCGCCCAATGCCGCGGGCAAGCTGTCGATCGACATTCGAGGGGTACTCTGCCCACGTATGCTCCCTTTTTAATGCCAAAAGGAAAAAAACGGGCTCAGTTGCCGCCCTTATCTCTCCGTACCGCGTAATCGACAGATACGCAGAACGAATGCAATTTCTCATTAAATCGTGGGTGTACGGTCGCGGTCTTAAGGTCTTTATTTACGTTTATCTTCCGTTGCACATATTCTGAGTTGCGTTATCTTGCGAGATCAAAGTATACGTTGATGTAGCGGCTAATTCGCGCCAGCGGCTTCTCACCTCGACGGAAGGTTTCGCGGCCAGGTTCAGGTACCAATTCTCGCGAGCTTCTCGCTTCAGGGTTGTACATCGTGCTATGAGATTTCTGAATTTTTTTATCTTTCATCTGAATCAGTTATTGACTGCAAGTAACACACTCTAATAGTCAATTCACTTGAACTGCTGTGCTATCTTTTAAGATTTTTGAGATATTTTGAGATATTTTGAGATATTTGAGATATGCACAAGTTAATTAGTTTTTAGATCATCACATACTTATTCATAATTTGTATCATTATTAATGATTGATGACGTTTGACTGCCTTGAAAGACGTTTCCTCCACAAAATAATGGAGATTCAGTGATTTCAATATTTATCTCTCTCTCAGAATAAGACACGTGTCAATTATTTATACATATACAATGTATTCATCCCCGAAGAAATTGATTGTACGTTGATATATTAATTAAATAATTCTGGTTCGCACGTGAGGCTTATGCAAATCAACCGAAAATTTTGGTCAATTACCTTATCAAGAATCTCCAAGTAACGTCCGGTTACGACCTGATGTTTGCGCCATGTCCAAGCAACACCCTTTTACGTCGATATCGTGGAAGATGCGTGCAAGAAGAAGGTCGCGGCTACCGGACTTGCAGTCCAAGCGAGGACTTCGCGATTGTGACGAAAAGGGAAGAAAAGGGCCCGCCCCTACGAAGAAGGGGCTCCGACTCGTTATAAGGCGTCAGGTGCCCGGGACCGTTGACGCGGCCGTTACCATATACCATCCCCAGAAGAACACCGCGCGATAATAATGTATACCATTAATGCGAATACCAGGCGGGGAGGCGCGCCGCGTGCGTGTCTTCGAGAAGCGGCGCGCCACTCTGCCCTTAGACTTTGGGGCCCGGGGGCCATGTGCGCACCTCCGCGAAAGGTGAAGGGCGTTTAACGGTCGGAGTGTACATTTTTCGGGATCCGTCGGGCAGAGCACCAGCTGATCACCGTTCGCTCGTTCGGCCACTCTATTTAGGGCCATGTGCTTCCCGCGCTTTTTCTTTGGCCGCCTATCGAGCTAGACGATTTCTCATTTGCTTCTTTTTGGTACCCTCCGAGTTCGTTGACTCGTATCCTTGAGCTCGTCGCGACGCATAGTCTGAGGCTGGCAATAGAGTATTCATTTATATCGAAAACTGTACTATCGAGGACAATGTGTGCGAGGAAACAAAGAATTTATCAATTTGTTTTCATATATTACAGGATGTTACTCTCTACATTATTTGGAGTGGAATCTCATTCTAAAGAGAAAAAATTAAATCAGTCTTAAAAAAGAGTCGCTTAATTTTCAATTTAAGAGCGAGATCTCACTCTGCAGAGTGAAATCTCGCTCTTAAATTGAAAATTCTCTAATGGACTTTCTATAATAAGCTGTTAGCAAAAAATAAGATGTAAGCGAGTCAGTAGTATGCCAAGTTGCAACAATAAGTCAGTAATCAATGACTGTATGTGGAAATAGTCAAATTTCATTTCTTACGATTTAAAATTACGTTATGATTGACCAATCATTATTGTTATTTGCCTTAAGAATTACCATCTTTCTCTGAAATATTGTGACGTAACGATCTAATATGATTTATTCTGAATGTAAATTTCCTGAGATTTATGATTTATGATTCTGATCTACTATCAGTATGATATGAGTAGTTTATTTATTGTAGAAAGTCCATACAAATTTTAAAGAGTATGTGAACAAAAAAATTTTAATCTTTACTTCTCCTCGTCATCGATCTTTTATTTCTCACCCATAGTCATTCACGTTTTATGCTTCTATTAAAGGGTTACCTCGTAATGAGGTGGTTTTCATCTATAATTTTATTTAGTTTCAATCTTTTAGTATACGATTAAAAAATGGTAACAATTGATGAAACTACGTAATTTTAGTACACTTTATCAGCAAACGACGAGAAATTTTGTTCGGAAGGGGAACAAGAGCTGAGATATATCCTTTAATTCTGGAATTCACTAATTATAAATTATAGAATTACTTTAACGAAACGGTAAATAAAATTCTTGTTAAATATCCACATTTTCATTATAAATATTCCGATGCATAAGAGCAGGAGATATGTATCCTTCCAACGCATTTCGCTTGCGCGTCGTGGTGATCGTTTGCCGTCGGCCGGCAAATGCTGCGGGAGAAGGAAAGAAGACGAGCGCACGAGGGAAGCGAGTATCAAGATCGAGATATCATTAAGTCAGGTCGAGTGATCTAGTCTGGCGAATATTATGGGGTCGAACGATGAAAGTTGATGAACTGACCGTACGGCAAGGGTGGACGAGGGAACGTTGCACCTTACTAGCGGGCACAGGTGCCACAGCTGTTTCAGCAAGTGCAACGAACGCCCGTAGAACACACAGGTATTAGAACTGTTGCAGACGGTGGGCACAGCGTAAGGGGTAGCGTAAAGGGTGCATAACTATTCGACTAAAGCGAACGCAGTGAGGTGTTGCGCGTTGCTTTTTACGGCACGACCGTTGAAGCAGTTTGCGACAACAGGTTGCGCGCACGTGTGACTTCATCTTCATTAAGAAGACCTTTTCAGAACGTCGCGAATTACATCTAATTGCACAGTGCGAAGGCACTAATTCCTTCGAGCATCGAAATAAACCGGCTATGACACGTTTTCAAGAATAACAATTTTTTATTCAATTATTCATATATTTCTATCTATCTTCTTTCTAGCAATCTGTTAAATGTAGAAGAGTCACACGAATACATTAGCGCAATGCATTAGATAAGCAAATAATATTACCTATCAACTTTTACTGAGATTATTATATTCATAATTGGAGTTCTACTCGACTTCTAACAGTTCAGGTCAGACATGTACCGAATTTAAGTTCGCTTCCGTTTCACACGCCCACGATTCGATGATAGAGAGACGGACGTTGATTCGTATTTGACGGTATAATATGAACGCGGCTGCATGTAGCAACTTTGTCTAAAGTTCAATTTAGCTGATGGTGGCGGCGGCGGTGACGGAGGGAGAGCGGGAGAAAAGTTTTGTTCTGTTCAGGAAGCATGGTTCCGGCTCTCTCGGTTCCGCCCATAACGGTGACGGTGTGAACTTCGTGGATTCCGCCGCGCGTGGATCGCCACGACGGACTTTTTCGGCGGGATTTGATTGGCGGTGGTATGCACCGTAATTAAAAGGGTGATCATTAAACCGTCTTCCGTTCTGTCGTCATCGATGATATTGACGTACATAGAATGATGATACATAGAATCAATGATGACGTGGATGAAATCAGAAGTTCGTTTATGAATCTTTGCGTAGATAAGAGGCGGAGAGATTCTTGCCACTTTCTGTAATTTAACTTTAAATCGAAGTTAAATAGTATCTGGAATAGGACGTTCTTTGGTGGATCGAAACGCTTTCTCCTCAAATGGCGATTGAACCGCGACTTATTTATCGAGTGTCTAGGTTTTCTTTAACAGAACCTCATCACCACTTTCAACACCTAATCCACGCAGCGTAATTTAGTTACAAAGAACTAAATTCACGAAGATAAATAAACGACTACTGCTCTGTCGTTTTTATTCGATTTATTCGCTCTTGTCCACAGTGAGGGATCCTCAAGATTAGGTGTAACAGTCATAATTATAAAAAGCAATCAAATAAATTCTAATGTTAGGTAAATCACTTCAATCTTTATCGACAAACTTCCTTCTAGTATAATTGTCAATGTTTATTTCTTTCATCATTTAATATTGTTCGATGACGCGGTAAAATTTTCAAAAGAGAAAAAGAGTCCAATCATTTCTATTTATTTCCAAAAAGATGTTCCATGTGAGTCGATACTTCTAATTTATCGTATTTTCGCAAGATGATCGATGTTTTAATTTCACCCATCATTGACCTCAATGCTCAAACCACTCTAACGTTATAAATGTTCCGACGGCTGTTAGAAGTCGAGGAAACATGGCACATTAAGTACATCGATTCGCATTATGGATACGACTTTAACTAGCTATTTTATCCTTTCTAGCACAGTTTGCGTTGTTCTCACCTTCTAAAATGCAATGGTAAAAAATCAGTATCTTTAATAGCATT